ACTCGTCAGGATTTTGACTGCATGACAGCAAGACAAAAGTACCGGAGTTTTTTTTTTAACCTTATTTGGGGCAAATTCATTAAACGTCATAGATATTTTGTGAATCATACTTCAGTGGTATGGTGTTCATGCTTTTACTATTAGAAACTGAAATTGTCACTTTTTAAAATTTCTCATATTTAGAAACAGGCTTCAAAAAACACTACCCTACTGTAGTAACAGTACCTATTTCCAGCATTCTTACAATGTTTATGCTTCTGTTCCAGAAGTCAGAAAACCTGTGATTGCAGCTGAACCTGATGTCAACTGATAACTCAACCTATGACTTGTTACTGCAGCTTGATGATCTGATGCATGAATCACAGAGATTGAATCACAGAGGTTGTTGTAGGCAGAAGATCTTTTACTGCTGAATGTTGAGTTGTCATGACTGAAATTACCCAAACACTTCAGGGACTCTTCCTCCTTCTCAAGAATAGTACTCTCTATCTGCTGCCTTTTAAGGTAATGAAGTATTCAAAAAAAAAAAGAGAAAAAATTCCAGATCATGCTGAGACGACTGAATGGATATCAAAGGCTGATGCTCATTGTTATACACCCTTTTGGCTTTTGCTTTGGTAACTTTGCAGTACAGTGTTTAAAAACCATGCTGATAACCCCATCGTTATATGAGTAGTCATCATATTTTCCCTCCAAACAGAGATTATGATTCAAACATCAGGTCTATCTCCACAGTCAGGTGTATGTGGGCAGTCTATGATAAAACAGAGATCCGCACCCTTAAACATAACAGTGTGCGTGTGAGACAGTGAGACAACAAATCCAGACATTTCCATTTTGGCAGCTTATCAACAATTTTCTCAGATTCCTGGAATGATAGATGTCAAAATGGCTAAAAAAAAATAGGCTATATCTCAGACATAACAAAGATGTGGCATGGATTTGGCAATAAATAAAAACCAAAGTGTGAAAATTATCTTTCAAATTTCACCATCACCATTCAACATTTCACCATTCATCATAACAGAAAAACATGCTTGTTCTGTTATCACTAAAAGTTGTAAAATGTTGTATCACTAAAATATCATTCTCAGTCAGTTGTTATTTATTATGTGTTTACAGCGCCCTCTGTGGTTGCTCCAAGTAATGCGCTTTAGAAACGGCTTTAGTTTGGAAAAAACTTTATTGAACAGGAACTCCGCTCAGTGAGCAAGTGAGCAAGAAGAAGGGAAACATATCGGCACACAGTTTATGGTGTCCTGTTGGAAAAAATACTGTCCACATCTTCTGTTTATGGTTGTATCGCCGGTATGTACAAGTTGCAACTTTGTTTTTTGTACAATATGTTGCCCGCTAATGCAGCATATGGCTGTAAAGCTAGTCCTTTTGTTAAGCTAGTTACCCGCGATTTTGGAGGTCTTCTGGGATAGCATCAGTAGTAGTTTAAAAAGTTTACATAATTAGACATATGCTATGTAGTAGCATTGTGGTATATAAATGCATATTATGCTGCACATATGTATGTCATGACTGTATTTTTTTGCCTTGTTTTTAGTTTTACCCTTTTGAATGTCAGTAAACCTGTTGACAACGCTCATCGGTCTTCAGAGTGGTGATATAAGAAAGGTGTTAACGCCCCTGCATCAGACATGCACCCCGGCACAATGCTCCTTCCTTCCATCGACACTAGCCAGTTGAACAACTCACCACTTTGCATCGAGGTTCTAGCAACAGGCAGGACTCTAATGCAGGCTCCAGGCCATAGTTCCATGTATTTATTTAAAGTTAATTTTCAACTACAATATCTAAACGAACAACAGGAGTGAGAGTTCTAGTCACCGTCTGGGTTCTCCTTGGAATCCAAACCATTTCAATTCCAAACGTTTACTTACAGACACCAGGCTGCTCACAAGTCTGTATCCACGGGTCCTCCAAGCAAATCTGAGCACAGGAAAAGCAGGTAAGATACTGTTTTGCAGGCAAGGCAAAGAAACTTTCAAAATTGTGAGGAGCCAATGGACTGATCCAGACTGTGAGACATGGAAAATATGGTGACTTTTCCTGTTCTGTGGTCATTTCAACCAGACAGAGACAGGAGTAATGATAGAATCAACTCAAAGGGACAAGTATAATTCGATCCCAGTTTCTCAGTTTGTAAATGAATGTTTTTGTACACAGCCAACCCTTCTGAGCCAGTGTGTGAAAAAAGGCGTGGGTCAATATCACCACAGGTTTTAGGTGAAACCATTGTGAGACCTTGCATTACCCTATTAGGCGACCTATTGAGGTTACTTCACACTGTCAAGTAACCTCAATGGGAGTTGAGGTGTCTGGAAAGGAATCTCAAAACTGCACTGTAGAAAGTTGGTGTTTTACAGGGTCAGATTTGAGTTGTCCTTTAACCACAATGAAAACAAGGAATGAAACAGAGTCTGTGTGAAACTCACATTTCTCACCGCTAATACAGAGCCAGTTCTTAAGATGGTGCTAGAGGACCAAACAGCCATGGCTTTAATGATGATGGAGGGTCTTAGAGGAAATGAGAATATCATCAAACTAAACAAAGACAAAGTGATAAATGAAGTCTTGAAACACATTATTTCCAAGGGAATGGGAAACTGCCAGAGCACTGGTCAAACAAAATGCTATAACAAGGTATTAAAAGTGCACAAGATGTGTTTGAATGCTGTTTTAAATTTGTCTCCCTCTTTAATCCTTACCAAGTAACAGGCATTACGAAGGTCCAGTTTAGTGAAAATGGTGTTGCCTTGTAGGAGTTCCAATTCAGTTTACAGGAGGGGTGAGGGGTACTTGTTTGTCTCCTTGATTTTTTCTTTGCCATGAAAAAGAACCAAGCTTTGTTGAACACTTCTGCAAGATCGTGCTACACTTGAGGCATGGAGGGACGGGGTTCAGGTGTTTTGGCTCTAATGGAGGAATTAACCAAAGGGGTGGTGGATCTGAGGAAAGGTAGATGGCAATTTATACTCCACCTAGGGCAGCCCGCTCTCGCTCCCGATGCGTAATATACAGACGATTTGTCACGTCCCGAGGCATTCCAGGGAATGCGAAAGGTTACCTTTCTGCGTTCCTATGTAATGTGCCGGATTGTGGATGAAATCTAATTGAATGACGCTCCCGCAGTAACACACATTCCAGCCGTGTATTCCAGGCCTAACGCTAACCTTATCCCTAATTTTAACCACCACCTTAATCGTGTTAGACAGTGTTTTCCAAAGCGATTTAAGTCAAATAAATGTACATGTGTAGATTTATTCCAAACAGTTCTGATGTTTCCTCATTTTAATATAGGGATGTGTTAGGTGGCCAAAGGCGTAATATACTGACAATTTGTCACTTAGCATAAAATGTTACGCTTTGGGAGTGAAAACGTGTTGCCTGGAGATGCAATCCTTAGAACAATAGATATTGGGATTATGAGTACTAAGTCTGTGAGGACCGAAAACCAGGGGTGTTTAAGGTGCTTCGAATAGGAAAAGGCTAATTTGCTCTACATGGTTGCCTGAGAAAGTTAATGAAAAAAGTTGTAAATAATCTATGAACCATTGCGTCAAGAACCATTATTCAGAAACTTATTAACAAACTCTTCAGAAGACAGACTTGGGTACAATTTCAAAACTGTTTGTCCCTATCTAATCTATCTATCTACCTTGATGCTCTTCCCACTTCAGGCATTGGTAGAGGCCACTCTGGAGGCTTGAGAGGCAGCAACAGCCTTGAAACGACAGCCTGTACAGGCCCCTGAGAGACAGGTGGGCTAAGCAGAGTTTCTGCTGAAACACTGGAAAACACTGGGTGAACCACCCAGGAACCCTGACAGTTTCATGGCCAGGTGAGCCATGTTTCCTCAATTTTTCAAGTTCATTCCCAGTGTTTTTGTTGGATATATTTGTGGGATGTTATGAGATGTGGATGTAAATGAAGGGCAAAACAGAACATTTAAGAGCTGCCAAATCATGCATCATGGTCATGTGTCCTGGTAATACCTTTTTGTGTTACCCCCCTTTTAAACTTTTATTGATATTCTTTCCACTCTTCAAAATTTCCTAGGCTTCCCTGCGATTCCTTGTCTTTGCTAGTTACCTTTTCTTTCTTGTTCTGTAATGCTTAACCTGCCATTAACCTGATGATTGTATGCTGCTTGTTCTTTGTTCTTGTTTGTTTTTGGCTGTTCTTGTGTTAGAGTCCTCTCTCCAACATTCATTCATTTATTCATAATCCATCAGTATGAATGGACGGTAATTGAAAATATGGCGCATGCATTCATCAATAGGATGACCTGTAACAAGGTTTTGAAATTAAAGTGGGCTGTGATGTGAATGAACTGGGAGGTTGTTGTATGGTGTTAGTTCAGCAGGCATTACACATACACGCAGGTAGGAACAGAGGATCACCGGAGATAACTCCTTTCTTTATTTTTCTTTTTCTTCTTTCAAATGCCACAACCAGAACAACATACTCACTAGCGCCCTCTAGCGCTTCTGGTAAATGCATCTACAGAACAAATGCAATAGTATGTGGACACAACATCTTCCCCCTTTGAACAAGGATTTCTTATGTGAACCTGACTTCATCATTCTGATGTATGTCACCTAATACACGTTTAACATATTTCACATTACTCAGTAACATTCACTTTCCCATGACAAAGTCTTGGGTCCAGCAAGGTGGGTTCCTCATCCTGGTGGGCCTAACCCTACTGTCAGACTCAGAGTTAGATGCTAGATCAGTTCCTGGTTCATGACAGTCCATTGTTGTGTCAGAATCAGTACCTGTGTTCAGCTCTGACAGAGCCGATAAGTGTGAGGCGTTCCAGGTCCGTCCGTCATCCAGCAAATAAGTGTTTGGTCCTTTCCTTGTCATGACAGTCCTTGGTTTAGAAAACTTTAACTTGCCTTTCTTTACCTTCCATGGCTTCCTAACCCGTACCTTATCACCAGGCTGAAAGTTGGATGGTTTGGTGTGTGTGCGAGCATCAGTGTATTCTTTCATTTTCATTTGCTTATTCTTAACTCTTTCGCACATGGTACGCCTCTCTGTCTGAGGAACAGGCATATCCATTACCTGTAACTTTGTTCTCATTCGTCGTCCATGGAGCAGTTCTGAAGGGGAAACTCTAGTTGTTGAATGAGTGGTTGCTCTGTAGTCTATCAGGTAAGTTCTCAGGAACGATTTCCAGGGTTGTCCTTGAATCGAGGCAGTCTTTAACGCATCTATTGAATCTCTCAACTTCCCCATTAGCTCTTGGGTAATACACTGAGGATCTCAGGTGTTGGATTCCCCTGCTTTTAAGGAAGTCAGCGAACTCAGCAGAGAGAAATTGAGAGCCATTGTCACTTATCAATGTCTTTGGATTCCCTTCACGAGAGAAA